GTGGATTTGATGTTCGGTAGCTTACAGGGACATAGTCGATAAACAGACCGTCGTGTTTGTTTCGTAAACTGGCCAGTAAGCAGTTTCCCACCACCGATAGTGTAGGTGTGGACGCGGAAGATCCGATTATTGAATTAATGTGGAACTAAACTATCGAATGTGTTACCAACAAATGCTGCTCTCACAATGACGCATAAAGGGTAAACAATAAATATTTTCTATCCCTTAGAGCTGCGTCAAAGATTCGAGTCTATTGCAGCATCATAGAGGTGAATGAATGCACACTTCGCATGTAAAATGACTTTGCGGTGGCCTACTCATGTATCGATTCAGTTTTCTATCCTCCCAAACCAATCCAGTACTAATTTGTCCACCTCAAAGACGTGGACGACTCGGTTAGTCTAAGGAGCAGTGTGAAACTAGCGACCATGTGCATTGCAAGAGCACCTTTAACCAATTCGTAGTACTTTACATGTTTCAGAAGTCCGTTCTTTAAACAAAAGAACGATAGAAACATTCATGAAGCGTGCCTTATTATAGACAGTGGAAGTATATCATCAGTGTAAAAAGTGATTCAGATTCAGCAATGGGAAAGTTTCCGTTTTTTCGACGACAGCATACGCCGTTCAGAATAATCCGCCATTCCTTTTTCTTCGAATAACTCATTTCATAACTTCCTACCAATAAGGGATGAAAAGATAAAGCTCTCAGCGTTGATCAATCCCTGAGGGTTGCGCCATGCATTTGATTGGAGGTGACTGAATGCATATCTGGCCTTTATGATTCGCGGTGGCCTACTGATGTATCGAGCCAGTGTTGCTATTCTGCCGAACAAGTCTGATACCTATTTGCCGACCCTGAAGGGATGAAAGGTTTGGTGGGCCATCGGCGCGGGGATCGATTCCACACGTGTGTCGCAGTGGCGCCTCCAACTACTGCGCCACACTTCCTTTCAATATAAACAATTAACTTTGGACAGTAAGCAAATTTTAAGAATATCACTAGCGCAAACATAGCTCTTGGAAAAAAGGTGTGAGAAAATAATAAAGGATGATCGTGTTATTCATTGTAAGAACAAAACTCAAAAATATCGATATGAAATTATCTGCTCGGTTTACACTTCAACTGAAGCACAAGCAACGTTTTCCTAAAGAAAAACACCGAAAGTTTGCCGTTAACAATTATCTTAACAACTGTATCTTTATGACAAAAACAACGCAACAGAGTAACTACGCTGCAAGCACGTCATTTCTCCGCGTATATGATTCCACTGCCACACTCGTCCACGCCTGAACGAGTTTTCCGCTAGAATATTTTCATCACTATCGTAGTCATCAGGGGCGCGTGTGACGCAGTGGTTGGAGACGCCACTGCGACAAACACGTGGAATCGATCCCCGCGCCCGCGGTTCATCAAGCCTTCCATGCCTTCGGGGTCGGCTAATTGGTACCAGATTTGCCTGGGAAGATAGCAGAACTGGCTCAATACATCTGTGGGCTACCACAAGTCATCGAAAAGGCCAGATATGCATTCAGTCACGTCTAGCGATACTTAATGAAGTCGAATGCATGGCGCATCCTTCAAGGATTGATCAACGCCGAGACCTTTATCCCCTACCCTTCATGTTAATGGGCACAATTTTCTGCATACATTACTTAAGAAATAAGAAAGACCAAAGAACAGCTGATTGCTTCATTGTTGGAACTCTTTCTAAAATCTCATTTATTTGGGGCCATCTCGGATGCAGACATGAATGACGTTTTTTCACAGCTATCACTGGCAAGTGAATCTACGTCAAATAGAGATCTGGGAAAAGAAGAAAAACGTTGAACTACTGTGAAATAGATCGTTTAGCGAGCATATGCTTCCTTAAACTAGCGAAAAACTGCTTAAGAAAATGTTCTGCTCAAGCGACCAGAGCTCCATTTCTGAAGAAGAACAAGGTTTACAAGAGTTCACATTTAAACATTACATTCCAAAAATACACTAGTTTCGACCGATCATGGGTCGGACTAAATGGATGTTTTCCAAATATTGGTCCATGACTGACCAAAGACAGACAGATCTGCTAACGAAGCAGGTTGAGACAGAACACTTGTCGCTGGCATATAATTGAATGATTATAAAGATGTATTGCTTTTTCTTCCTACCATCTATCCGTCTTTCTATATGTTCGTCTGCTTGTCTAGTTGTCTGTTTGTCTGTCCGCCTACCCATCCGTCTCGCTCTACTTTTCATTTCTGTCTTTCTGCCTCTTATACCGTTAATCATTTAATAGCTCGAGTAAACATCTACTCATATATTGCAAGGATTTCACATCATTTAATTCCTCGCCTTGCATCGGTCATAGTCCAGATTTGGATGTACTTATATAGATATGTACAAATTTCTGTATCTGTTTGGAACCCTTGTGCACTACAGCAGCTCAATGACCTTCGCTCACCCAGGGACAGCATTTAGTAATTTACAGTTTTTGTAATTCTTCGTATTCTTGTTGAGCAAACGCGAGGTGTTTTTTTTATTCTTTATTAACTAATACCAATAATACCAGGATCCACGACAGCCTTGGTATCAAGGTCGTATGATGGTAAATCTCCTTCTGACCCACAAGGGCTGCGACTGCCTGTCGTGGTGACGACCTAGGGCAGACTTTCGCCAGGATGTCCTCGGGATTCCAGGGAACCACAGTGGCTCAACTAGCAAATTTCCGAAAAATGGTGATTATGCCGGGGCTCGCACAGCTAGTGATGACGGGCCGTTCAAGTATCAAGTATCAAGTATTCACGAGTAAGCTGACGTTTCGGCGGATTTCGCCTTCCTTAGAGCCTGGAAAGGTCAAGTTGACAGCAATCTATTCGGCCAAACACCTCCATAACCAAACAAAGAAGACGTTAAACCAAGATTTCAATCACATTGAACACAGAATAGCTTCTTTGCACACTCACCACTTTCTATGAGGCTTCCGCTGAGTATGTCGCTGGGAGACCAACCACACAGAATTTACATGGAAAGCATTGTGTCACGATCCCCGCGCATGAATCGAGAACACAAGCGCGCTAAACTCTCGAAGCCTGGATTAATTCCAGAAATCCGAAAATGAACCGCAGAGAAGAATGCCTCATTTATCACGCGTGATATTGGCTAGTATATAAGCGTTATTCTGATGGGAGGTTCATATTCATTCTCCTATTTCCACGGACAAAGAAGAATAGAAATCTAAAACAGATCTGGATGGGTGAGCGTCATAAATGACGTGCACGAAAAATGTTACCAAGAACTGCCAGGTTGGCAAAATCTAGAGTATGAGGAAATTTTGTGCTTACAACGCTCGATCAACAGCACTGGAGGTAAAAGTAGTTTTCTATAGAGCACCTGATCATACAGGATAAAAGGATTAGGTGCGAAACTATCGGAACAAGGAACACGAAGAAACGCCATTCATTAAATGTCGTTTGTAATGCCGGAGAAGAACTGAGGATCGGGACATGACAGTTAGTAGTGGCCAGCAACATTCGCGAGTGGTACTAAAATAACATCTAAATAATTTTACTTCGATTTGACGAAATGAAATGGAACACAGGCACAGACAGGGACAAAGGATTAGTGATTTCTCGGTGATAATCAGAACCACATGATAATCTGTCTTCACGATGAACAGTACCACAAATTGGTTCAAGCATTTTTCCTCCAACCAAAGTTTTCTTTTTCCCTAACGGTTGGATTGCGAGGCGAACGTTGTCTCAGATGACAAGATCGAATAGGACTGAATCGTTCCAAGATGCCGTTCCATATTGTGGTCTTCTCACAGTGCATATTACCATGAGTAGCTCCCATTAGCAACTTAATGAATACTGATATTCCTACGAGACGAATGTGCTGAGTTCTTTGCAACAACTGACGCTTGCTGTCCATTTTACTGCAAAACTTCATCACCTTTCCACATCGAACAACTCAGTCAGCGTAGTGGTTAAAGGTGCCCCGTAATACACACGCCGTCCCTGGTTCGATCACGCGTCAAAGGTTCCCCACCCTTCCATCCCTTTAGGTCGGCGAATTAGTACCTAGTTTTTATTGGAGGATGGTAGTATGGCACTTACTTTACACATCGGTAGGGCTTCAAACCATTGTATTACCCAGACATGGATTGATGGTTGATTTCTAACGATGGTTGATAAAGTCGAATGCATGTCGCATCCTTCAGAGATCGACCAACGCCTAGCGTTTCTTTATTGTTTTATCCCACCAATAATGTTTGAGCACTGACTTCTAGTTTCTCTTCAAGAACTTCATTCAAATATTAAGAACAACAACTGCACTGGACCAATTAATAAAAAATTCATCCTTACCTTTTTCATAGTGAGCTATGCCACTCCATATTTGCCTTGTGGAACTGTTGCAGACAAAAGATAAAGAAAACGATAAAAAAGATGGATCAAATTCTTAAATAATAAAGACCAACATCATATGACAGTGTTTCGTATGAAGATAAAAGTAGTGCACGACATTCAAAGGTAACGAACAAAGAGAGAACAAAACGGGAGACAATTACAATGAAACAACAATTCCGAGGTCCGAGGTAAAAAAAAAAATAGACTCGGGTGAACCGCTTCTTCGGCAGTATTGACGGCGGTATATTCAAACAGTCGATGATGAGATGTTATTAGGACACCTTACTCCATACATTCAAGCGTAAATTGCTTCAGATGTCCGTCGTTCATTATACCTAAGAAACCTCACCACGACGAACGGAACGTCTTCAAACGACAATACAAACAACAAAAACGATGACTGTGAAGTAACACTTGGCTAACCATTAGGTATGAGATGACATTAAAGAGATATCGCATGTTTGGAAAAAGAAAGGACGAGGTGCTCATGAGCTATCCCAACCTCAACCAAAAAAACGTTAGGAAACAAGAAGCACGGTGCTCCATACCTTTGAACACTAAAAACAACAAAAAAAAAGTGCGAATAATAAACGACGCACTATTGCCGGCGCTTTACATGACAGAACACCGTTCGGCTGGATCCGAGGGGTCGGTGGACTCATCGGATTCGAATGTAACTGAGGACCTCAAATCTCCTTCGTGATCCTCGAGTCGTACAGATGGATTATCGCCAATAGGCCACTACAACACATACTATTCCCCAGGAAAAACACTTAAGAAACTAAACGAACAAATTTTTAGCTCTACCTATAACTTACACTCTGCTTCTTCATCACAAAATCGGTTGGTGGGCGATGTTTTTCACCAGAATCAGCGGAATAAACTGTAACGTGGCCATGGGGATCAAGTTTCATGCGTGTATTAAACTGGTAGGATACCTTAAAAAGATTTAAAGAACGATCTCATTAATTGTCATTATACCTTTTATTATAGTTTAAAGCAAGATATGTAGCGCAGTGGTTAGCAGTTCTTGCAATAAATACGTGGTTGTTGGTTCGATCCCACGCCCTGGGGTCACCAAGCCTTCCGTCCTCTCGGGTTCGGTGAACTGATACCAGGTCTGCTTGGGAGGATATAAATACTGATTTGAAACACTGGAAGGCATCGCGAATCATTGTGCAGACCAGATATGCATCCAATCACCTCTAACGTTGCTTAATGAAATCGGATGTATGACGCATCCCTTAGAGACTGACCAAAGCCAAGAGCTTTGTCCTTTATCCTTTAACTTTAACGTAGTTGAAAGACAAAACAACACAACTTGTATTTTCATATTCTGTTCATTTAAGTCAACGATCCATGTGTCCTACTCTTATAAGCGCAGCGTGGAATACCACGCGATGAACCAAAACTACGTACGGTTCAGTCTGATTCGTTACAACGAAGGTAACAGATCTATCTGCGACGAATATGTTGAATGCTATCCAACACATTTAATAGCTGGAACTGCTGGTCATGGCAAAGGCCAATGTCGTATTTACTGCCCTAGAAAACTGGTTACTATAGCAAGAATGTGATGGTTCATTCTCTTGAGGTTCGTGAGGGAAAACTTCATCTTCACCATCCTCAATGTTAAGCAACTAAAACGTCCATAGAACGGAAAATATTGTTTATTAGGAACTACTAAATCCAATAAAGCTAATCAAGCAATGCGTGAAAAGTGTAACAGTAGAGCATGCATCTCGCAGAACGTTCTTGGATGAATGCATATATGGCCCAGACAATGACTTTCATGGGCCTATCGATTTACCATGTCAGTACTTTTGTCCTACCAAACTAATTTGCTACTTATTTTCAAATCAAGAGAATAGCTCTTCTACACCCAATGATCTAGTTGGAACTGACTGGTATCTATTACCATGTCTGTATTGCATAGCAGTTTTAAACACTGTGCTACACGCGCTCCATTGACAGAATAAAGTCACAAGATAAAAAGATTGATGATGTTCAGCTTACTTCTTTACCACCAGCACGAACTAGAAGCTTCCAATGTGCAATACTGACTTCCTCGTCGGTACTGTTAGCAATGCGCACCCACTGTCCATTTGGATCTATTTCATCAATACCAACCGGACCATCAACATGCTTTTGCATCTGAAGTTTCGCGAACAACTGCTGTCCATACAGACCTACGTCAATTTTCGATCATCGAGAATTGATCCATGAACTTACTCTCTGGCTCAGACGATGAAAATCTAAGTCATCATCACCATTCCATTCAATTCTTGCCCTCTTGGCACCACGCTGAGAACTACCTAGAAATTTCTAAAACTTAGCAGTAATACAACCGCAACGCTGCTGAGATATTTGCAAAACGAACGAGCTATTGTCCTTTCCGAGGAGTAACGCATTCACCACCACAGCATGCCGATCCCTCGTTTCGCCTGTTTCCCAGTTAGTTTTATCGGTCAACACCAGGAAACGCTAGGCGAAACGAAGGACCCGCATGCTGTGATGGTGAATGCGTTACTCCCTAGAAAGGACAACAGCGCGTTCGTTCCCCACCATAGACTCCCGCCGTCCAGAGTTCTGCAAATATCTCAACAACGATGTGGCTGTACTTCGCTTAATACCCTGCCGTTAAGATTGTAGTAGGCAAAAAATAAAAGGTAAAACTTAGCAGTAAACTAAGATATCTGATGAAGATAAAATCATATATGACAGCATCAACATATCCGCCTACTGCAAAAGGAAGAAATCCAGTAGTCTGGTAAGACAGGAGCATAAGAAAGAAACTGACCAGTTCCAGATGCGAATGAGACATGATGTGATGTCGCACTGTTGTCACGTGATGCCCCACCGGAAATATTTAGACGAGTTTCCTCGGACTGAAATTAATAGCTATCCATACAAATTCCATAAAGATCTATAAATTCATTGAACGCCATGACTTCAATACTATACTTCAATTAGTTTCATAGATTGAGACAGCTTTGAGAAAGAAATGAACTCAGCAAACTCACAACAAATAAAGCGATGTTAATCATTTGTGTTGGAATTAGAAACAGCTAGAAACAGAAAATTAGAAACACTACATACCTCAAGCAGCATACGATAAGTATTGAGTTCGGTGTCTAGTTGAATTTTGACATCAAGCAAATCATGGAACTCGTCCATCATACGTTGAATCTCACGGTTCAGCTCGGCAATACGGAGATCCTACAAAGAAACACAAGAATAACCAGCACACATTTTGAAGCACATAACGCACACCTTTCCATCAAGCCTTTCTTGCCACGACCTTCTGGCAGCATCCATATCCTCCTTCAAATCCGCTAATTCCCGGCGAAGATTATCAATCTAAAATAAGGTGTGCGTTGCGATGAATGTTATACTGAACATTACTAATAACAATTTTCTGATGGCTTGTAGCTGACCACTGCGTCATGTGTACTACCGCTCTTTTCCAGCTCATGCACGCGAACTCGCATTCGAGCAGCCTCGTCATGAGCCGCTTCAGCTCTTTCACGGGCATCATTGAGCTAAATGTAAAGGACCATTAGTAGCAAGAAGTACCACAGATCTGCCAAAATACCTTGTTTTTATAGGATTCTTCAAATGCACTCTTGCTAGCAGCGAGCTGAGCTTGAAAACGTGCACGCATTTCAGCCAGTTGATCTTGGAGCTTAGACTGATACTCCTCATTGATCTGCTTCGCATATGTTGTCATATCCACTTGGCGTTTATGGCGCACCTCTTCTAGGGCCTAGAATGAAATGATGTAGAGCACTGAGTGAATTGGTACATTTGCCTGTAGCATATACCTAGAACTCTTCATCTTCACATACCGATTTATGTTGCTTTTTAAGAAACTCCAAGTCCTCGGTAAGAGCTTGAATTTTCGCGTTTGCTGCAGCGCGCAACACACTTTCATCCTCAAGATTCTTTTGCAAAGCGGCAAGTTGCATACGTAAACGCGCAAGCTCTTTTTCCATATCCTGAAATTGGTGAAGTACGACCGTAAACTACCCCAACAGAGGTGACCACCCTAACCATATGCAAGAATAACTTACATCCACCTGAGTTACCGCCTTGTCCAGCTTGTTCTGCAATGTCTTCTGTTTTGCTGTGCTTGACTCCGCTAATGATAATGCCGACAAGCGCTCATCTTCAGACTAAAACTCTCGATGAACATTGTAAAAACGTCATAAAAGGGAAACATTACGTATTTCAAATGCCAGCTTGTTTACCTTCTTCAAATCTCTCTCCAATTTTCCAACTTTTGAAGCAAGGCGCTCATGTTCAGCTTGAGCTGAGTCACGTTCAACGGCATACTTGGCTGCTTGCTCACGCGCATCCTCCAAAGCTTGGCGAAGACGTGTCTGCACAAAAAACAAGCAAATTAGGTGAAAATAGGGAGTGCCACTCAAGTATTTCAATGAAACGTTTGTAGGAGTAATCCGCTTCCAGAACCAAAAAGGACCGTTTTCTAAAGACTGAAGCACTAGCGGATTTAAACATGACACTCACACGCTCAGCTTCGAAACGTTCCGCTAAATTGTTTCTCTCCTTTTTTTCGATTATTTCAATATCTTTGATCTGTACCGTCAGGCGATTATTTTCGGCTTCTAGCTGACGCACTTTCTGTAAAGAAAATCGGGACATATTGAAGTAACAAAGACGTGGGGCAAAATTCGGAATCATGGTTGGAAACATCGAGAATTCTAATAAAAACAATATGTTTATGTAGACATAAAATATAAAACAATTTCTAAGATTTACCTAGAAATCATCATTAGCGTTAGACATTCGACCGTTTTCAAACATTGCCCAATTCAACCCATCTTTTTCCTAACACAATGTTGTCTAACTAGGAAGAATTCAATGGTGGTATTTTCTAAATTTTCCTACTACTTGATAAATACCATCTATTCAATACTAGAATGCTCTCTCAAGTTGAACAAAAAGCTCTTACATCTATGTACGTAGCTAGGCGACTGTTAAGTCCAGTAAGTTGTTCCTTCTCCTGCGAACGAGTGTTCTCGAGTATCGACTGGCTTAAAATTCGAAAACTCAACAACGTAAACAACAAAGTAGAAAAAAACAAACACTATCAGGAACAAAACCTACAACGAGTCTTCACCAGTAGCGAAGCCGAAACCGGACTCAGCCCGAATGGGACCCGACGAACGTGTAGTTTTCGTCTTACGAGTGGACATTATGACGGCTGCTCACCTGAAAAGCAATTAAGACATGATTCTGTTATTAAACAATACAAAGGTAAAACAGAAAAGGCGTGTAAGCAACGACACAATGTAAAGAGCCAAACCTTGAGGAGATTTCATCAGTCTACAAACATTTCACCTAATTTAGCGCTATCATACCACAAATTCTTAAGATATGTCTCTTATTAAGAGGACAAAAAATAGTGTTCAGCTGTGTTGGAAAGGAGGATAACGCATGGCTGACAGATAACGAACAAAAGGGGACCAGAAACCATAGAAACATAACGCGAAAAACATCGTTCCAATTCGAAAAGTTCTATCACGAAAAAAATTAAACTGGAACTGAAAGAAAAACGTAAAAAATCAATAGATAAATGACACCTGGATGAAAAAGCTTCGTACAGAAAAGCCATACATCAATGAAATGTTTAGACTCTTAACGAAGTGCTAGCTAACGATAATTGCTTTGAGTTAAATGATCCAAAGCAAAGTGCAGCGTACACTAAGACATCAAATCCACGAGTTTCCACACAACGCTTTACCAGCAAAAACTGCCAATCAATAGTATTACGTCAAGAAGTCACGAAACATTTGTGCTGTGGTCCTAGTGACGGTGAGTATATCTCGTAAACTTTTGGAAATGACAGTAATCGATAATGCTGGATATGAAAAGTGTAGGCATAACCATGTGGAATGACGAAAGGTGACTAACAGCGACGAGAAATGGAGAGCACTCGGAAGCACTGGCAATGATAAATGGACGGATAGGCTATGCGCATAAGTGGGTAACATGAAAGTCCAACGATCAATACGTGTTTCCACAGGAAATTCAACAGAAAAAAACGCCGATTTCTTTCGAAAAACATTCCAGCGATCGATACGTGCTTTCAAAGGAAATTCAACACGAAAAAACGGGTATTTCCTTAGAAAAACAGTTCAACGATCAATAGCTGTTTCCACAAGAACTTAAACATGAAAAATCAGTGATTCCCTCCAAAACAGCAGTGATCGGTACGACAATCGACTTCCAGACAAAACATTAGTGGCATATAAGGTGCAAAAATTTGTAATTCTTATTACCCACCGTACACGGAGTGGTATGGATTGAGTCAGATTTCTGATTGGAGCATCTGATCGCCTGAAGCTTTTCAGATTCTATTCGTTTTTACAGCAATGTTGAGAATAGATCTCTGTTGTAGAATCCAATATTCATAGACCATCTAATCTTTCAAACTTCACCACGTATGATTGAAAACACGACACATATACAAATCGACCATGGGATCAGCAAAACCACTGCCATAGGCAGCCCAAAAATAATCTTGACCTCAATCTCCTTAAAACTTGGACATTCTTATTAATCAATCGAAGCTTCTTTCAACATGTAATTCATAACAAAATACTTCACAAGGAAGCCCACGAGATAATACTCAGCCTTTCTTTCCACTAGCCACGTTTCTAAGTGAACTTAGGTTCCACTAGCGAGTAGTAGAACTGTTCTCCTATCCACTAATCTAGCTAACAGACATTACCACGGAATTCATCAACAAATAAGTCCACAACGAGATTTGGGTTAATACATTTGTCAACTGTATGAATGAGAGAAAACTTCTACCGTCCTCAAGAAACTCGAGTGTTGGTCAGCGATATGGAAAAACGAACAAATACTGGCAGCTAGGACTTGCCAGGAAAATCAGGATTCAAAAGCCACATCACCTTTCTGAAATGAAAGAAAAAGCCACGAAACTGATGTTTCTAGAAGACCTACGAAGCCTTAGTGTAAAAACTGAGAACAGGCCCTTAGCAAAAACGAACTCGGTGTAAGAAAACTTCCTATGAAGAAGGACCAGACCTCTAATACATAAAGGAGACAGTGCCGAACAGGGCTGTTTTCGAGATTCCATCAGACGAACGAGTGCCTGCGACGCAAGGCGATCGATAAACCCATGTGGGCCCTAAGGAAGTCGATCGCACGGGGTTTAACGCGCAAATTCGCGCCAAGGGCAATTTTTTGTTCTCATTGTACTCCACAGTAAAGGAAAGTAAAAAAGAAAGAAAAACCAGCAAAAACAGATAAAAAGTTGTTCAGAATGGTCAGTTCGATAGGAAAAGAATTGTATTTGACCTTACATATCGTACGATAACATTTAGAATAGAGAGGAAAAAGAACGAGTAGGTTTTCTATTAAAACGCTAAAAGCCCTAAAGCACTTTAGCCACCCAAGGAACCTTAAGGGTTCGGACATCTCTCTCGTAACAATTGGCAAATCAATGAGTGAAGAGGAATGAGTAAATTGGATAGTTCTCTACTCACGCCTATAATTCACATCAGTACTCATCATCCAAAGAGATGGTAGGTGATTTTATACCGTAATACGAACTGATTAAAAAAATGGACCGATCTAGTAAAAGACCAATGAAACCAAGACGAAACGAAATGTCGTTATTTGGGCGCGAAGACAGCGGTTATTTGAAATGGCATTTTGCACGCAGCGACAACCGCGTTCCAATACCACTTCGGTAGATAGAGTATGAGTGGTTAGACAAAAAATAGGAAGGTCCCAAAGCGAAAACCTTGATTCAACATACCACAAGGAAGATTACTGAAATATGAACAGAAGCTATTGATTCGAAATTGCATGGTCAAGTATAAACTAACCTGTTGAGCAGCTTGCTTCAGGAGCTTTTTGCTGAGTGAGGATGAAATGAAAAGAACAACTCTAAGGAACAAAGAGGCTTTAAAATTTGGTCTAATTGTCAGCAAGTCAACAACAACAACAACAACAACAACAACAACAACAACGACAACAGCAACAACAACAAAAAGACAGTGGGGAAGCGAATGGAAGAGGAAGGAGAACAATTACAAGATGGACAAACATAAAGTAGTTCAGAGTACAATAAGGTACTAGAAAGAATTCTTCAAAAACCAATTTGGAAAGCGGCGGACAATCTGTAAGCAACGTAACCAGTAGTAAAATCGCACATATATAAAGTGTCACGAGCAGTTTTTTTGAGAAACCAAGCTGACAATGCCGTCGTTTCTGTCTGGACTTCAATTTGTTGCTTGTTATGCAACTACACATAAAACACATTTAACTCACGCCTGAAGCTAAACTTCAACACTGTAGCCTCGTCACAACTTCGTAAAAAAAAGTACCTCTTCTACAAAGTAGAATCAACACTTTACTAGTAAGTTATGATGTTAGCTGTCTTCATAGCTCAGAAGAATGTCGAACTTTGTTGCTAGTAATGGAGAAACCCATTTGAACCGAGTAGGGAGCATTCAAAGGAATGGTGCATTTGACGCGCACGCTGCGAATCGATAGCCGACACTGGCACCTCAACCATACCACGCCTTCCGCAAACACGTACCGGGCGCTGAAAGGGCAATCTGCCAGATGTGGGATTAGGAACCCAACGGAGGTGGGGTTCGACAAGTGTGAAACGGAGGTGATTGATTGATCTCTGTGATATCCGTACTAGAATTAGGAGACCTATTCGTCGACGATGCCTGCCTAACATATCCGCAATAAGAACCTTTGTTTGGCATAGATGGGTCGTTGTGTCTGGCAAAGTGTAGTGTCATAAACGAGTAGCTATTTCCATAACTTCTCATAGAACATGTACAGGGAGCCTCAAGCGCCTCTAGCAAAGTGCCTGTTTGTTCTAGTCATGAGTTAAAGCTACCGACTTCACTCTGCTGGCACGACAAACACGAAAATATGACATCACCTTTTCTCCCTCTCTGTCCTTTAAGAGTTCTCCACTCTGTCGCCAGGCTACGTGGCGCTTCCCCGGAAAGGTAGACAGAGTGCGGTGCGAAAGGCTCATCCAAACTAGAATATACCTACTTATACCTACTTATATAATATACCTACAACTGGATTGTAATAGTGCCGTGACGGACTGATATTAGGCTTACGTTTAGGCTGAACCGTCTCTCCAAAAACAATAAAAGTATAAGAGCTTACTGGTACATCTTGTAGTAACTCTCAAGTCCGACTTTCTATTAACCTCGGCATTGATTGAATATATCTTTCTACTTCTGTTCAGCAAGCACAAGGTGCTATTTTATTTCTTTATTTACGCACAAGCTGACGTTTCGGCGGATTTCGCCTTCCTCAGAGCCTACAAGGGTCAAGTTGACAGCAATCCACTCGGCAAAACACCTCCATAACCAAACAGAGAAAACTCCAAACCAAGATTTCAATCACATTTAGCATAGCTCTGCACACTCACCGCTTTCTATGAGTCTTCCACTGAGTATGTCGCGTGAAGATGTGCCCCTCCCATCAGAATAACAGGTTTATATACTGTCCAATATCACGTGTGATAACAAGGCATTCCTCCCTGCGGTTCATTTTCGGATTCTTGGAATTTATCCAGAATGCCTCTAGAGTTTTGCGCGCTTGTGTTCTCGATTCTTTCGCGAGGATCGTAACCCTTACTTCAAAATCTTCTCCGTTATGTTTCTGCGTGCTATGCGTGCCTAGCAGAGTATTTGGTTTACGTTTGCCGGCTAGGTGTTCTTTATACGTACGCAGAGTGGTCTACCCGTTTCGCCAACGTATTCGTCCCCGCACGCTTTACAAGAGATCAGATAGACTGTACCCGATCTCATGCAGTCACCGTCTCTACCATTGGAGCAAATTATGCAATTTTGCGTTGCACATAAACGGTCGTATAGGCGGTTACGAACTAGCTGGCGCCGTAGATTATTCGGTGGTATTTCGATTATCGTTGCCGAATTCTCTAGACTGGCCCTTCTTAAACAGCGTTTTATAGCTGCACTTACTTCATTTGAAATAAAGGGCAGTATAAACGGGACCTTGCTGTCGCTAGAGTTATCGTTGGGGTACCTGTGGTTTCCTCTACACCTATCTGGAGCTATGGTTTCGTAGCCATTAAAAATGGCTATTTGCCGCGCCAAGTTCCTGGACTCCTCTCTCTTTTGTCTCCCTGTGCACACGCTGGTAGCTGTTCGATACAAAC